TATCTCAAAACAAACTTAAAACCTTCTTTCCTTGCCTTATTACTGCAAAAAATGCCTCTAAAACGTGAAGTAATAYTCAGATAAACCAAAAGATGCCTTCGCTTGTTGCTTTTATGGTCATATTATTTCAGTTTCATAGTGAAGTGAATAAAAGTGTTTACTTGCCGTCGTCATGGCAACCCATTATCGAGTAAATGTTTTWCRAAAGAACCAYTGAATAATGTACTTAGTGCCAATTGGTYTCGAATCTATWTTGATTTTGGAATATTGAGCACTATGATGACGTCCCAATTAATCGAAACTATTTTTGCTGCATGAATTGGAAGTGTTAACTAGAACTGAGATTCTATCATTTCTTTGTGAAAACTATGCTCTGTAGAATGTAGACATTCTTGAAGATGAAATTCTCTTATTGGCGCGCGTCGACGCATGCACTATATATGAAGTCTTATGATTAACCAGATGCTTAAAATTAATCCCTTGGCTAATATTTCATGCCCAGCATCCCTTGCAAGATGACAGCATATYGGTTTCCTTGTGGTTTAGCCGGGTTTTCTTAATGATCTTCCTCGTAATGCCGAATCGGCTTAAAAAAGCCTTCTGAACTTCTACAACTAAGAACAATTTAGAATTTAAGGGTTTTTTTTAGACTTTTCCATGCAAAACAAACTTTTTTTGATACTGATATCCTGTGGTGATCAAAATGCGACTGAAGTAGGCCAATGGAGACGGATTTAGCGAAGGAAGCGATGTGAAAATTTCGAGCTCTTCTTCGTTCACATTGGTTCTCTCTCCGTCTTACTTTTTATCACGAAAAAGAAAATCATTTTGTCAAACTAAACTGTGTAAATCTTTACTCTCACATAAAATTGTATATATAAAATTACCAATAATGATCTAAGCCTTGGAATAGACTGACTCRGCTTAGTGTCGCCGACCTAGTCGTCAGTAATGTGATAAACTTGTAAAAAAATTACCGCTTTCATGTSTAATTTTTACTGCTTTATTCTTGATCTTTCCGCCAAAACGCCTGCTCATGTTTCTACTGTCTATKTTAYATGACGACGGGGGTGAGGGCGCCGCGCGAGCGCTGCGAGTGTGTTTCTCTCCTTTCTCGATGGYACGWATCTTCGACCTTGTTGCTTTATGACGGAGCACAGAGATTTAAGCGACCGTTTTATATCTCTTTTCTAAGAATTTCTGCCTATTTTGAGCTCAAGACTAGCCGCAAACTATGCTTCTAAGCTCTCTTAACATCACCTAGTAAGAGCGCGCTTTAGCTGCTTTAGAGATTTATGAWCAATTCAAGATTTCCAATACTACGATTTTTTTCATTTGCTTTTTAAGCACTTCCTAAACTTACAAGTGGATTATACTCATCTCTAGACTAGAATCATTATATCTTATCATGCTATTGGATAATAATATATATGAAAGGACTACAAGTGTATATAAAAATATCAACTAACTCTTACATAGATATTTCAAGGTCTGCCTCGTCTTTCAAAAGAGCAAAACGTTTGATAGCATTCACCATGCCATTGAACGGTTTAGCAATGATTCGAACTGGCTAATCTGGAAATATCCTTGTCTAAAGTATTATTTCCTTTTCCTGTGTATATCTTTAMGCTTTCTGATAACACAATAGCACCGTTTAGCTAGTACGTATCTATATATGCTATCTAGCCCTCTAGATACAAGACCGTCTTTGAAGGTTATAGGACTTATAGCTTGCCTACGGAAGAATAAATCCATTTTTGAACGTTTTTATGAATATACTCGACACATTCAACAAAATATCGTTCTAGTGTGCGATCACTACATCTCTTTATAGCTCTCATTTTCTATTCTCATTAATTTTCATAATTTTAATTTCAATATTTCCTCCTATTGTTCCTAGTAAAAGCTCTGTCCATCATTTTGGTTTAARACAACATGAAACGGCCGCACTTGTCTCTTATATTGTGTTATATGAAAATACACAGCAGGGATCGAGAGCACAAGAAAGCAAGCCTAGGAACACTGACGGCCTCAGCAAGAGCATTTTTCTTGTTCCACGACAGCTCTTCATCGCYCACCATGCATCTATAACGGCAGAGGCACAGATAAACAATTTACTGCATTTTTTGAGATCACATGCCACAAAACATG